TGTGTGTGTGTGTGTGTGTGTGTGTCTGTGTGTGGAGAAGAAGGAGGGGTGGAGAGGGCGAGAGGCCAGATTGTCCAGTCCCCTCTCTCCTGTATCCCCTCCCCTGACCAAGCACTGCTTGAATCTTGACCCATCCCATCAACCCTCCCTTGGCTTCTAAACACCGCTCAGTGCCGGTAGGCTGCCAAAGATGGACCTTCAGCTCTCCACACACGCTCATACACACATGCAGGTGCAGTGGACTCTATAATGTGGAGTGAATACATTGCAGCCACTGTGTGTTAACTCTGCCGATAACCCTGCACTATCTGTGTGGGGCATAATCGGCTGATATTACCAGTGTAAATTAAAGAGCCCCAGCGAGGCTGTGTGTGTGTGTGTGTGTGTGCGCGCGCGCACGCGTGTGTGTGTGTATACGTTTATGTGCCTGCGTGCATGTAAGTTTTCAGCAGGGGGCTTCCACAGCCCTGCCACAAACCCAGATAATAAATATCTATTATAAATATCATTATTATTGGGCCAATCTCCCCCAATAACTGAGCCTCTGTGAAAGATGGCATGAGGGACCGAGCTGGATATTGGCAATATATCAGCATTGATTATTGAGAGTGCTGACAGAGAGAGGGAGGCAAAGTTAATAAAAACTAATAAAAAAGACAAGGAATACAGAAAGAACACGGGCTTTAGCTGGATCAGCTGCTTGTTCGCTCGAGGAAAGCGAGAACGGAAGGCGGAGGGCTGGAGATTGTGGTGTACAGTCATCGTTTGTGTGAGGCTGTGTGTATTTTCTGCTTCAACATACGTGTATCTGTGTACGTGAGCGTGCGTGTGAAGTTTTACCATTCTCATTTGGGAATTTTTTTCGTGTGTGTGACTTTGACTTGTGCACACACACACCTCACTTCTTCTTCTTCTTCTTCTTCTTCTTCCACACCTGTATGTGTGTATCTTCTTGGATTGATTGAATCTTGGTTGGATGTGAACTCTGCAGTTAGGATCCAAAGCCTGCACCACATCTTGCCTTCCCACACACTGGCACTTACCAAGATCCACAAACAGTACCTGCCCACCCACTCGCCAACACACGCACTGACAAAGACACCAAGAAAACAAACCTCATAAAAGCCCATGCATCATATCCATATTATCTTGACAAATCTATACATCATGTCAGAGCATGGCATTATGTGAATATTACATTTTGCCATCTGTTATTGATGTGTGTGTGCACGGAGAGGATATGAGAGGAGTGTGTTGACGCCTCGCGCTGCCCGGATGAGACGGGACAAGGCGACAGTGAGAGAGAGAGAGAGAGAGAGAGTGTTGTCCATTCTAATAGGGCCTTGTTAGGCCGCTGACAGAGCCAGTAACGCCACCGTTGGCCTCCTATTGATTCCCAACCGACGCAGTTATTGATGAGTGAGAATTTAATTCGACCAGCTCGTTTGTCAACATGACATCACCATTTAACTATGACCGTGACATGGCCGCGAACACCCTCGGATGAGCCGGGGTCACACACGCGGAGCGGCGCGTGAGGACAAACACACACACATCCCGTCTGATCAGTACGAACCATTTCACCGAGGAAAAGGGTTTGGGTTTTTTTTGTGGTTAGAACTTTTCTTCTGCTTCATCATTTATAATAAAAACTAAAAAAATCATGTTCAATATTCAAACTCTGTTTCTAGCCAGTCAAATCAATCATTCAAAATGAAGAACAGGCAATTACCAAGAGTGCAATAAACAATATGACTAATGAATGGTCCGTGTTGTGACTAATGTGTAGCCTAAGGATACTTTGGCTTTTTCTGATTGGATACATTTTTCATGCCACATCCTGACCTACAGCACATGACACAGAAAACATTTTGTGGAGAGAAATTGAACAAATTGCTTTCTATGAATAAATCTGCTTGTGACTACTGTAGGTGGGGAAAACTACGTAAGCCAGAGTATCAGCTGCAAACAAACTGATTTGTGTTAAAGAAAAAAACGCTGAAAGAAAAAAGAACTTCAAATAGATTATAAGAATATTTTTTATTTTCTTCATTTGATCTATTAGTTTGATATTTTGTCTTTTTATTGGAGATGTTGTCTAACTGAATCCAATAATATGTAATAAGTTTTGAAAAGAGTGATTCAGGAGTTGTTTTTAAACATTTCACTCATTAAATAATTGTGGGGAGTAGCTGTGATGAACAGAGAAGTGTGTTTACCTATTAACAGTGTGTTTTCTCCATTAGCAGTAGCTTATAAATTTATTGACGACATATATCAATATTGTGGCATCATAACGAGTTCATATATGTATATGATTTTTAGCAAATGTAATAAATTCTACAGCACAGACATTATGTAATGCAGAAAAACCTGCAAATCCAGTGCAGTACACTGCAAGCAGAAGTCTCATTTATTTTGTAATTTAAAGGGAAGAAAAACTTTCTGGAAGATGTGAAGCACACAAATTACAAAAGATACACATTTATACCTCTTTTGGTTATTAAAAAGAATCATTCGGCAGTTAAATCTCAATCCCTAAACTTTATTTTTAGTTCCTGCTTTCCAATATTACATCCATTACAGTATTTGTTATTTGTCCCTGAAAAAAATAGAAGCAAAGCGAGAGAGCGAGAGAGACAATTTTGGAAGAGCATTTTTCAATACAGCAGGGCAAAGATACAGCCCAGAAAACAATGGAACCAGCTATATATCTCTGTATGGATTGGGAGGCTTGATAGGGAGGGAGGTGGACAATCAGGACCATGTGCCTTCAATGAAAGCGGTCCAGCAGGGGTTATTGGCTGGAGCGGCCCCTCAGGGGAGCTCGCTCTCCCTATCTGTTTCTCTCTCTTTGGGGTTGTGGGTCTCACCACGTCCCTTGGGGACTGAAACTGTAGAGCCCACCTCGCTGCGGGGGCCCTATAGGCACCAAGCAAGAAACACACGGAGGGGGCGGTTTGCAGAATTCAGGTGGTCAGTCCCAGACAGATGGCCAGGTAACGAAGCCTCTGTATTCTGTGCTTATTTTACCTGTCAAACAGTTTGCAACTGTGTAGACATGATGAGGGAAAATAACTTTAATAGAGGGAAAAATCAAAATTCTGCACATGCCTGAATTTGTGTGAAAGACGGTCAGCGAGAGGACATGAGAGTTTGTTTCTTCCCTTTAAAGTTTTCAGCGTCTGCTGCAGAATAAGGAGATCCGCTCATCTGAATACCTGAAATCCGCGCAGGTGTTTTGACGGCGGTGTGTTTTTATATGTGTGACTGCCTCATTGATAGTTTTCTGTGTCTTTGTGGCCGCGTCAGGAGGAAGAAAAAGAAGAGTTTGGTAAGAAGAGCGCATGGAGGACAAATGGATGGATGCTGTATGTGTTAGCACCCCTCCTCCTCCCTCCTCACCCCCTCATCCTCCTCACCCCTCCAACACCATCTTATTTTCCCCTCCTTCAATCTCACACACCCTCCCTCCATCCCTCTCTTCCACAGACGCGCACAACCACACTACATTCTACAAGAAATAATTGCTTTTGTCTGGAAGGAGTGCGGGGAGGAGGGAAAGGGGGCGCGCATGGCTCCCTTTGTGGAGAGAAGGGGGTCTTTGAAGGACAACTAGTCACTTCGCCCTTCCCTCCTTCTTTCCTCCTCTCTCTTCTTGCTGCCTCACCTCCCATCTCCTCCTTCCCTCTTATTACCCTGCCACCTTACTCCTCTTTCTCAGTTTTCCACTTTTCTACTTCTCCCCTTCCTCCTTTCCTTACTCCCTGTGTCTCCCGTTCTTCTCTCTCTTCCCTCTCCTCCTCTCCCTCATTGGATCTGCGGATGTCATCTGTCATATGTGAAGCAGAGGGAGAAGGACAATAAAACCAGGTTGTCTACTACAGAGGATGACACATTTTTCATAATTAGGAATATGCCAGTTTTAGTGTGCGGCTCACATTTCTTGGCAATATGGCTGTCTGCTGATGACTGAGTAAATGACAAGTCTGGTGATGATGGGAAAGTAATTTATTGCACGTGCAGTTTCCATTAAAACGGGCCTAATCGCCCACAGCATTAAGTGAGCAGGCATAAACAGTCCTGCGGGATGAGGCTCTCAGGCCCAACAGGAGCAAGAGCTCGCTCATTCCTATCGATTTGCCCGTATTGACTGCAATGTTTAACGTATAGATTTTTCTATTTAAAAATCCATATCGACAATAATCTGGCGTGTAAGCGTGCGGCGTTGACTGATGTTGGCCTGTAATTGACAGCATGTAACATGTCGGGAGCCCGGGAGTGGGAGAGGGCAGAAGGGAGGCCGGCATGCGTGGAAGAAGGGCTGCTGGTGATCACCTTTGTAATGGAGGAGCTCGTCCCCTGACACCTGGGCTCTCTTGTTCTTTATTTTTATTGTTGCTCTTGTTGTTGTCATTTGTATCCTGCCTGCAAACTCAAATGCAAGCACTTATGCATGCACATGCTGCTCTTATCTCACTGAGTTTATAGCCTGCACTGTGTTTTCAGTCTGCTTGATATTTTCTCATGCCTGGAACAGCAGTGGTCGCTCTTGTCTTTCTGTCTATCTGAATAATGATAGACCCTACTCCGCTCAGGAGGGCTTATTAAACGCAGCAGTGATGAGATGACTTAATTGCGTGCATGCTGGGTATCCTGGCAGGTATTAGCACTAAGCACCTATAGGTATCCATGGATTCTCTTATCGGGTCTTCATCCCTACCCAAGGAGGCCAGCAGTAATGCACTGATCACCATTGGCATCATTATAGCCGGTATTATTAAGAGGGGGGAAAAATCCAGAAATCAATACAGGATACCTTTTGCAGCGGTAGTGAAAACGAGGGAGATGGGGTGGTTGGTGGGGGTGGCGGTGGTGGGTGGGTGGGAGGCAGGAGGGAGGGATTGAGGGATGGAGGGATGGAGGGAGGTGCGGGGGTGGGGTGGTGGTGATGTGTGAGTAGTAGCGGGTCCTCTCTCGCCTCAATGTTGCGGCCAGCCTAGTGGCAGATCGCTACAATCCTGGAGGGAGCCGGGTCGAATGAGCTGTTGGGGTTCCCAAATAATATCGGGGACAAACAGACAGACAAAAACAGACACACAGGCGGATGGACGGAGATAGGCAAGTGTTCCGATAAAACGCGACACCATAATTCGGATTTCAGTAGATACGCTTTCTTATTTCCGTTTGGGGTTTTTTTTCGGTTTTTAGTCTGATTTTTTTTTTATTATTTATTTACCCGCTGTATTTATTTATTAGTTTATCTATCGATTGATTGCGTTTTAATTACTGCCTTGTGACAGAGAGCGAGGAAGGAGGAGCGTCAGGGCCAAGCGCGCGCGCGCGTTGTGTTTGTGTGTATATGTGTGTGTGCGCGTGTGTGTTTGTGTCCGTTCAGCCTTTTTTTGTCCCACTTGTTTATTTGGAAGCCTTTAATGAAGCTGTTTTAATTTAAAGAAGAAGAAAAAAACGCGCGAGCCGCCGCTTTTTGCCCACGCGGATGAATGTCTTACATGTAGCCTTCATGCAAAGGGAAGAAGAGAAGGAGCGCGTGCAGCTAGAGACCAAATACAGTATAAACCAAACCAAATAGTGCAGAAATCCAAATAAGACTTTCTAACTCTGCTGGCCTTGTTTTTTCCACTGTCGAGCGCGTTGATATGCGTCCTTGTTGTGCTGTTTTAAACTGCAAAGCGAATACCAAAGCCAAGCCCGGCCGGTGATGCTACAGGAATAGGCTAGCGACTGTTCTCATGCCTCCTCACACCTACAGGAAACGTTAACTGGTGAGGAGCGAGAGAGGAGTGTGGGGGGATAAAATAAGCTCCCGGGCCTCTATGTTTACTCAAGGAAAACGATATAGCAGAGCAAAGGTAACAGAGAGACGCAGGTGCATCGACGACAGACAGGTGACACGCAGACTTGTGTGTTTTTATTATTATTATCAAAGCTTACTTACAATAGGTCTGCAATTGTAACACAACTTTTCCTGTAGCCTGTAGAAGTGAGCTCTGATCTCCGTTCTGTCCGTCTGTGTGTTGGTCTGGACTGTAAGATAACTGCTGCACTCAAGGGACCATCCTACATAAATATATATATATATATATCTAAATATAAATACTATGTTCTATGCACATTTACACCAAAACAAAAGCCGAGCACCAGTCTACAGATGTAAATAAAGTGCGCAGCTGGGGCTACATGTGTACACACCTAACGGCGAATGTTCTGAGCTCTCCATACCAAATATTGTCCAAAAGCTGTCTGCCAGAGAAACGGACGAAAGTGCAGGAGCTTCAGAGGACGACAGAGCTTGTTACAGTACATCTGACAGATTATTTGCATCAAAACACGAAGCCGGAGGAAGATCATGTTTGTTCCTTTGCCGGTGCCGTTCGTGTTTCAGAGAGCTACCCCTGACCTCAACGCCTGGCGTCTCAAATCCCCTCTGGCTCTCCGCTCCAACTCCGGTAAGACATTTTTCCTCTTCTCCCTGCTACACCTCCTCCATGTCGGCCAAGCCGCGGAGACCCGCCCCGCCTGCCTCGCTCGGTGCCGTTGCACTTGCAGCGGGCAGAGCTGGCGGTGCACACACCCACTTGCACACGCACACACACACACACACACACACACCTCGAGCTCCTTCTGGGGGCTTGAACACAGTCCTCCGCACTTGCGGGGCGGCTGTTAAAAATCAGAGAAGCTGTCCCGGGCGCTTTGCTTTGTCCAGACTGATTGAAAATGAATTGCGTAAAATGTCCAGTTTCTTTTCGCTTTCCGTTCTGTGAAACGATGCGCCACTGCTCCACCCGTGTGTTGCTTAATTTCCACGCCGCCCGTGTGTTCCTATTTCCGAGTAGGCTATTTTTTCTCTCCCCGTCTCCGTCACCGTCCTTCCCCTCTTCTCCACTGCCTGCGCCTGAGCCTGAGCCTCCGACTCTCCCCAACTAGACTCTCGGCAGGCAGGGAATATTCATGCCAACTTATCGATCCTGCGGAGATCGATTCCTGGGCCGGTGGAAGCAGAGAGAGGGGGAGATAGAAGGAGAGAGTAGGTGCACGGAGGAGTAACAACATACGAGAGGAGGCAATGGAAACGCTGTTTTCCACTCGTTTTTATTCCAAAGCCAACTGTTTAGTGTTTGTGGTTTATTCATATAGACTAAATAACTTGTTAGTGGGCCGACTTTGAGCTCGAAGAACCTTACTGATTCTCCTGACTCAGATTTTGCTCAGACTTCCATCCAGCTTAGCTGGCAAGGATCGCATCTTTGTAAACACCACTAGAAATGGACTTGGAGTGATTGCATCTCTCTGTCCCATTGCTTGGGCTGCTCCACGGTTGAGAGCAGACTAGCAGAGGGAGTGTGGAGTCAGGGAAAGGGGGGTGGGGGTGGGGGGGACGCCGTCTGCGTTTCATCTGCGCTGAAGTGGAAGAAAAGGATGCATGGTGGGAGCAGCCAGTCCGGCTTCAGTGTGTTGCTGTGAGAAACCTCTTGCTCAGTCTAGCATCCACTGTTTCTAAGACACGCAACAGCTACTTAGCTCTTTACTGGCTTAACATCTTTGCTTGCCCTGCAGTCCTGCGAGAATTGTATTGTTTTGGGAAGTGATGCAAAAGGAGGAAAATTAGGTCAAACATTAGTCATTAACTATTGCATACACATAGACAAACTTGTGTGAAAAGCTGGGTTAAATGTGTCTCATGTGCACCTTGGCCAGTGGGTGAGCTCTTACAGGCCCAGTCTCCTGCGCTCCCCTCATTTCCAGATCAGTTCAAGCCCATTTGATTTGTGAGGCGCCAGGTTTCACCCTTTACTCCACATACTCAGTCAACGGTGCACAGTGTGTGACAGTGAAGGGATAGGTGATAGAGGGGGAGAGAAAAAGAGCGTAGAGGGATGAAAGGGACCTGTTACCTGCCATATCTCTAGAGAGATACATAGAGAAGAGAGGGGAGAGCGGTTGGATGGTGGAAGTGGCAAAGGAGAGGGGGACTGGGGAGGAGGAGTTTTTTTGGTCTCCGCACGTTGAAAAATGGCGAATGTCACAACGAGATAAAAAAAAAAAATGTGGAAAGAGAGCAAGAGAGAAGTGGGTGAAAGTACGAACAGATGACAGAGTGAAAAACGAGGAGGGAGAGGAAAACCCAGTTTGAGCTCGAGAGGTGAGAGTAAACCGAGGATGAGCCATTATGTTGCCGTGTCCCAGGCCAGGGCCGGCATCTGAATAAGCAGGCAATCTGATGGGATGTGTATACAGGCTGCTGAATTCCTTAGATGGCAGGATAACGTGATTCACAGTCCTCTGCTGATTTTATTCCAGGTTGATAACATAGCGCGAGGTGCTGTCCTTTCTGAACTCAGAGGGTTTGTTGCCAGGGGAGCGCTGGGTCAGTCAGCATCTGAGGTCTAAAGCAGGAGTTGCTTCTTCACCGTATATCAGCAAACAACAGGAATGATTTAATCTGAAAGTATTAAAGTTGTCTTGATGCGTGCTCAATCATCCAGGTAAGAAAATCCCAAAAAGTTGATTCTGTTTACTCATCCAAGTGATGAGAGTGACGAAATGCCTCTCACACTGAAAACGCCACATCCACATGTACAGAATCAACTTTTTGGGATATTAAAGATGCTAGGATTGAGTGGACACGCCCACAGAAGTGTGCTTTCACTTAGCCAACAAAGAGCCTTTAATACTGTCACACACACACACACACAGACGCACACAATGCTTTCTGGGTAGTTGTAGGGCTCTTGACTCAAGCTCTCAGTTAACTTGTCTCTTTGACTGGTGGCAGCTCCTTGACTCCTTTGCGTTAGAGCCTTTTGTGGGGTCAAAGGTCACGGCGGGAGTGTTAGACTCAGCCCCACCTGACCCTTTTTAGCCCCCTGTGTTTTGATTCTCTTTCATGTTACAACAGGCCTCGAGCACTCATGCACAACCCCTGTGGGGGCTCACACACGCACACACAGACACACAGAGACACACACTCACTGTCATGAAACAGACAGACCATCATATACACTACCATAAAACAAGCACGTTAGGCTGTTTGCACCTGGACAGCAAGCTGCTGTAACTGATCCAGGTTTTGTTCTATTTTTAATGGCATTGTGTCTGTCGAGGTACAGGTCATGGCTACTGCTGTGTGAACTCTTTGTGTGTATACGTGTGTATGTGTAGTAAAGTGGTTTGTGAAGCCATCAGCATTAACTGGTATATGAAAGTTTAATGGGACATAGAGGAGAAACCGCAGGTTTCCCACACAGTGCAGGGCTTGGTATGATATGATATAATATGATATGATGGGACATCAAGAAGACTGGAGACTGCCTTTCTCTCTCTCTCTCTCTCTCTCTCTCTCACACACACACACACCTGGATTCAGTTCATCTCAGCTATGCACCTTCTGTCACACACCATTAGCCACCATCTTCTACCATATACTCTCTAACTCTCTCTCTTTCACACACACACAAACACACACATGTGCACTTACAGTGCGATCGCACACGCTCCTCCGGTTTTAGCAGCTCGTGAGCTGTTTTAGTTCTGCCTCTGCATTTCAGACTGAGTAACATTTAACTATACACTTATTGATATTTGTGTTCCTCATAACATTTCCTGCCCGTGTACTGTAGGGCCGGTCTGATGTTATTATTTCCTTCAGTGTATTCCAATAAAATGTTCAGTCTTAATCCATTAATCAACATGTCCACAGCTCTGCGTCTGCGCTCGCTGCCAACTTTTAAGACATTTCTACATGTGTACAACGTCGCGCTGGCACGTCTTCGACTGCATGATGTAAGACCGTGCATGTGCTTACCCATTTGCTCTGTGTGTGACAAAGCGAGTGTGTGTGTGGGTGTGCAAGAGCATGAGCACACGTGCAAACTAGTGTGTGTAGATATAGATCGGTTTGTGGAGGGGAGCGTGCAAGTCGCAGTGTTAACATGATTGCAAATGACAAAATGTCAACCTGGGTTTGTTAGCAACATAATGGGGAATCAATAGACACGAGAAAGATGTCAATACTACATGCTTTATTGCATTAAGCTACCTCTCTCCTTCTCTGTAGCCCTCTCTCTCCTCTTCTTTTCCCTTTACCTCCCACTCTCTGCTCTCTGTCACAATACAATTCTCTCTCTCCTCAGCTCTCCTCTCCCCCTGGTAGTAGAATTAGATTGCAGTATATGAGCCAGCCACAGGGTTCTGAATGCTGCAGGCTGATGGCAAAATGCTCCAGGAGCTAATGGGCTGTTGGGCTCATCTATTTACGTATATTAAGCTCACATAGACGACCACAACAAAATCTGACAATGTGACGAGGCCCAAAGGAAGAGCAGCAGTGACGTCTTCTGTTTAACTGATGCATTTACGTAACGAGACAAACATAAGAGTTATCGTAGGACACTTTTAAAATCATATACTCTGTAACTGTGTGCTATGGGTGACCTTTAAAATATATAGCACTGGGAATTAAGGCTTTTTCATGGTTTTGGATTAATCCAAGCAAATCCAGTCTATAAAGATTATTAGCAGGGTGCTGCTGTGTTATTCGTGTTACAGTGGGGTTTAATAATTCCTTTTAATCCTATTAACTGTTTACCTTTTTATTGGATTTGCTCAGGTGTGCATATGCGCCAGTAGGTTGTATTTATACAAAGCATGTGGATGTGTTTGTGTGTGTGTGTGTGTGTGTGTGCGCGCGCGCATTGATGTGTTTATATTACTTGAGACTAATGTAGTATTAATGCTGATGAGGTCCCACAGCTCATTAGCAGCAGGGAGTGGTATTGAGTTTCTCCCGGGGAACAGGAGCGACCGGGACATACACACATCCGCTGTAAATTCTTAACAACCATTAGTGTATTGATAACCATTATCATGCACACATATATACACACACACACACACACACACACATTCACCAAACAATGACCTTTAAAGACATTGCTTTTAAATATGCATACTCAAGCACACAGGAGGACACACCACAAAAATCATGCAAACATATTCATCTCAACAGCACTTAGAGGCCATCCATTATTCTCCAATGTGTTCACAGAGACACGGACTCACACTCAGACAAATGATTTTGTGCAATTGGTCACCGTGTCCGCTGAAATACAGCCTAGCATTAGTCCTAACCAGGGGCTGGGTGAGCAGGCCACTTAATCAGACCTGGAGACCTTAATAACAGAGAGAACACACACACAGACGGATAGATGGAGTGTGTGTGTGTGTGTGTGTGTGTGTGTGTCTGTGTGTGAGAGAAAGCAGCTAATCAACACATCAGCAGGAATAAATACAAACCAGCTGATTCCATCCTAGATATTGATTTACACCTCCTTCTGTGTTTTCTAGTTGCCTCTCCTTATCACTCCTCCAATAGCACACAGGCAATGTACATACTGAAAACTCAGCCATACTTGACCTCTACATGGGGGACATCCTCCTCTGAGTA